TCAGTTTAACTTGACGAAATAAATGGCTTAGATTGATCCGCAAATCCGAAAGGTTTGATTGATAGAAGTATAATTTTTATTAAAATTAAAATTGTGATTGAACGTGAACTTCAATGTTTATTTTCTTAGAAAGTAAACAAATTGTACAGTACTGACTTATTCTCATAAAGATTTTATGTAAGTCCATTCCAAATAAAGCCACGTCATATTTCCAAATCAAGTTGTATATAGTCCATCATTCACAAACGAAAATTTCTAATAATGTATATATGAAAGGTTTTGACTAAGATCTAATTTAAGAAAAAAAAAAGTATAAATACGTTTTTTAACGATATTTTTTTCTCACATTAGTCAGATAAGTCAGCCACATATAATTGAATCAGGTGACAATACATATTTCATTAAACAATCTATTCTGCTGATTGTTATTCCAAATCGGGCCATAAATGAAAAAATCATATACAGACAGTAATTACATTACGATGCTGAGACGTTGCTTTAGTTAAAATGACTAAATATTGAAATATTAAATTGAAAAAAAAAATATTTGATAACAAATAATTTACGAAGCAATTTTATTGTTCAATTTTAACGTTGTATTTTTGAAACCTAAACAAGAATTATTATTTTTTTTTTTTTTTTTGATGAATACTAAGCTTGATTTATCGTTCAAAATTCATTAACGGACAAAAACGTTAAAGCTTTTATAGTAATAATGAATTGATTGATAAATTAGAGAATTTATATAGTCTATTGCATAATTACAAATAAACAAATTTAATAAATCCACCAAATAGATATACCGTCACACTATGAAAGATTAGATTAATAGAAGTATTGTTTATGATTGAACTGAATGAACAGGTTATTCAGATATAATTATTTTATGCAATTAATGGTCTTAAATGTTAGTATTTCATAAATGAAAAGTTTTGATAGAATAGTTACGTATATAATATAAGAAAGGTTTTAGATTTTTTCATAGAAGGTTTAATTTGTATAAATTTTTTAAGAAAACCCCATTTTATGTTAAACAATATATTTTTTTTTTTCATATTATTCAGATGAATAATCAAAAATTGGATCAGAAGATGAAAAATGTATCATTAAACGGTTTGTTGACTTTGTTCAGCTGATATGTTAAATTGGGTCTTAAATGATTTTTGAAAATTTATTATAACGCGTTTTATTATACTAAATCGGGTTGTAAATGGTTCAATCTAAATGGTCGATATGAGATATTTTTTTAATATAAAGGCATATCAAATTCGAATCCCTTTCAGACAAAGTTTCAAAAAAATATTTCACTCTTAAAAAAAAAACTAAAATAATCCAAGCTTCATTATCGCGATGGTTAAAGGTTCTGCATTTCAGGATGGTAACAATCATCTATTTTGCACCGAAGTCTCAACTGGAGTAAAGAGTGATTCATTTGGTGCATCCGCAGAAGCAAAGTATAATAGTTCACTATACAGATACTGTGGTGATGCTGGAGATCTTAAACTTTTAAATGCAGGACTTGGAGCAAAAGCTGCAGCAAATACTATTGATGGCCTCAAAGCTAAAGTTGAAGCACGTTATGATTTGGTAGATTATGAAGCGGGAGGCTTTAAATCAAAATTTGGTGTCAGTGCTGACACAGGTGGATCAATTGGCTCCAATGGCGTAGAGGCTAAGGTTGCAGGTATTGGTTTTAAACTTGGTAAAGAAATAGGTGTTAGTCTTCCTTTTGGAGAAATTTCATTTGATTTGGGAAAATTGTTTTAATAGTTTAATTATTTTAAATTTACTATAACTTGTCATATTTTACCTGTAATATTTTGATATTATCTTTTATTGTTCTGTAAATTTTTTTTACTTTTATATTTGTTATTTACTTTATTAATAAAGACAAGTTTTATTATTATCATATTATTACAAAAAAATTTACTTCTCATAAATAATTTTATGGCGCAGTTTTTTCATTAATGACATGATAATCTTGTTTATTCTCTGCCCAAGACGTGATATAATATAAATTGAATATTATGTTTTTAATTCACTGATTGATCCATGAATATTGTAATTAAAATTTATATACTATCATATATTTATATTTATAAACATTTCATATACTATACTTTCGCGAAATTAACATTGTAATAGCATCATTATAATAAATAATTAGAACCAATCATAATTTAATAAAAGCTAGTTTATTTTTAGTAACGCATCTCGATCATCTTTGTTAGCGTTACTTGGTTTTCTATTTCATGCAATCTCTTTTTGTTTTTTTCGTTATTTATTTTTTTTTATTATTATTATTTTCTATTATCAAACTTTTACTTGTTAAAATCACTTTTCTTCATCACCATTTCCCTTCCGATATCATTTATTCATAATATTGTGCGCTCTTTCTATTCTATGATTTTGTTATATCTGTTAATCCAAATTTTGTTCTGAATATTTACGAAACAATCGAAACATGTTTAATAATCATGATATTTTTCGATTCTTGATTACTCTTTATTTTATTAAAGCCATTATTAAATAATCCTTAAACTAATTCCTAAACCTTTAGTTTTGCCAATAAATATTTTCAAAATCCTCTCTAATTAATATAATAAATCAACATTTAATCGATCTCAAATATTGTAATATCTTGAAGATTTTTGTGTAAACAATTTCTCTTCATATGTTACCAAAATATTTTCTAGTACTATTTCAAATAATGTCATCTAGATTATTTAGTGGAATTATTATTTATTGAAAATTGGTTTATAGATGTTTTCAATATTAATTTGAATATATACGAAGAGAAATATTACAATCTATTATTAAACATTTCCTCAAACTTTTACATCATCAATAAAATTTAAGATTTAACTTTACTACGTTTTTATTATTTATGAATAATAAATTATAATTAGGTGGAATTATTAATAAAATTAATATCATTAAAGTATGTAAAATTGCCCTATTAATATCGAATAATATTATTATTGTATAAGTCAAAGTTTGCATTGAATTCTTTAAGCTCTATTGTTAATATTATAAATGTAATTAATAAATTAATATATATGAATTTAATAAATATCGATATTTTTATTTTATTATAAATTATTATTATTATTTACCACATGTAAAATTTCTTTTACAACATTATCGTAAAAAAAAGATTTTTTAAATAACGTTTTTTAATTAACGTTATTGGAGAGTAAGAATCAGATCGAGAAATCCATCTTGGTTGATTGAAAAAAAAAAATTGACCCCAATATGAATAATTTGAATTGTGCAACGTGAGATGCGTGATGCTTCTGCGCCCAATTTATCCAATATTTATTATAGTTAAAATGGTCATTTGCACAAATCCTTGTGGTTCCGGACTTCCGGTTAATGAATTATTTTCTCCCAGGACGATGCAATTGGCCGCAGCAGATCACATCATCAACTATCCAGTTAAAGTATAATGGGGCTTTTTTTTTCCTTTTTTTTATATTTTTTTTTTTCAGTTCTTATAAACTTGCAAATTAATATTTTTTTTCGGTTCTTATAGACCGAATAAATTTTTTTTTCGTTTTTTTTCAAACAAAAAAAAATTTGTTTTTATTTTACAGTTGTTTTTTTAAATAGTTTCAATTTTTTTAAAAAATATTTTATTTTTAAAGTTGAATTTTTTTATTTATTATTATTCATTTTTTTTTTTTATTTACTTCACAAGTTTTTTTTTTATTCTTATAATTAATACTAATATATTTAATTTACCTAAATATTGATTGTTATATTAATTTAAATTACATTAATCCTGTTGCAACGCAACAAGTTATAGCTAGTTATTGACTGAAATTATTTTTATTTGGTTTCACTCAATCGATTGTTTATTGAAAATTTCCTTTTTTCTTTTGTGCTGATCAATATCGTAACAAGGTATTTTCTTTTTAGAATTTTTGTATCAAATTTTTGAATGTTACACATGCACAAGGGTTGACTTGTTGAATAAAATTTTCCGAACTCTGTAATTTAAATTTTTTTTTTTTTGCGTTTCATTTATTATATGGTTAACGTTATTTTTAAATTTACCAAATAAATTGTAATTTACATATATACAATGCAAATTAATTTAGTATGGAAATATCAACAATAAATCCTAAAGAAACTAAAAGAAATTTATGGAAATATTTTAGTCCTGTTAAATATCAGGTAAAACAATTCATTTTGTCATATAAATATATAATAGTATTGAATTTTTAATTTGAATAATAATGTTTTTTAATCATTTATCATTAAAAGTTACATGCTACAATTTCTACTATTGGTTCAGCTATTGAATCAGTAGATGATAAAATAGTTTATATGGAAGATTTAGAAAAAAGAAAAAAAGCATATGGAATATGCGGAGAATGTAATGAACCTGGCACAGGAGAAGATTGGTGTCAATCTTGTAATGCTAAAAGATTTAAGGATAGATTTAAAAATTGGACTAGTGAAAATAAAGATATTGATGAATTTATACAACAATCACAACTTAATGCTGAGTATTATAAAAAATATCTTGAATGGATACCTTTTGAAAATTTTAAAGATATTACTTATATTATCAAAGGTGGATTTGGTAAAATTTATTCAGCTAAATGGCCTGAAGGATATATTTATTATTGGGATATTGAAAATCAAGAATGGAAAAAGTATGTTGATAAAAAAGTTGCATTAAAAAGTTTGGATAATTCTTCTTGTATAAGTACAGAATTTTTAAATGAGGTAATTAAAATAAGAAATGTTAACTTATTTACTTAATATTATTTTTATTAATTCCTTACAATGTTTTTATTAGATTAAAACTCATCTTCAGATTTATCTTCTTGATGTTATTCAATGTTATGGAATAACTCAAGATCCAAATACCAAAGATTATATGATGGTTTTAGAATATTGTGAAAATGGAAATTTGAGAAATTACTATCTCAATAATGAATCAGATTATTATTCAAAAATTGATGAATTAATACGAATTGTAAGTGGACTTCTAGATCTTCATAATGCTGGAAAAGTTCATAAAGATTTTCATCCAGGTAATATATTATATGATGTTCATACCGATCCATATATAAGTGATTTAGGAATGTGTCAATCAGCAAATAATGAAAAGCATTCAGTTAAACAAGAAGGTATTTATGGAGTGTTACCTTATATGGCACCAGAAGTTTTACGTGGATACCAATATACAAAAGCATCTGATATTTATTCATTTGGAATAATAAAAAATGAATATATATCTGAAGAAACTCCTTATAATAATATTCCTCATAATCATGCTTTAGCTATTAAAATATGTAAAGGACTTAGACCAAATATTTTTAAATATACACCAAAATTACTTGCAGATTTGATTACTAAATGTTGGGATACTAAAGCAGAAAATAAACCAACTGCTAAATAATTGTATCAAACATTAAATAAATGGGATGATTATAAATTTAATGATAATGTTAAACATCAAATAAGTGAATATAATGATAAAATCGAATTAAATAAAACAAGTGAAAAGAGAACTAAAAACATTCAAACAGATCCACAAGCAATCTATACTAGTAGACTATTAAATTTCAAAAATCTTCCAGAACCAGTAAATTCAGCAGGTAATTTAATTTAACTTATACTTTGATAACCAAAAAAAAAGGTTTACATTACTAATAACTTTATTTTTAATAGTTGCTACTAAAACAACATTATGTAAGTAATTATTTCTATTGGAAATATAATTAATAGATTTTTATATTGTTTTTAATAATATTATGTTAATTAATTTATAGATTCAGAATGTTTTGACTGTCAATTAGACGAATCTGGTAAGATATTTATTCTTTAGTTCTTTATTTTGCTAATATTTATTAATTTACTTATTTTGTAGATTTCAATGAAGTTAATCAAGATTAAGAAAATAATACTGAATGATTTTTTTTTTATAAGAATCAAAGAATTTAGTTTAATTATATTATTAAGTTATTCTTTTATACTAGCAGTTATTATTTATGTTTTCGTATTTAGTATTTTAGTTTAATAAAAATAAATTATTAATTGGTTAGTTATTGATTGTTCATTTATGATAAATTAATTTTACTATCATTAAACTAACTTTTATTTTGACGTAAAAGACTTAATATTACAGTAAGTAATGTAATTTCAGATTAAACTGAATAACTTTATTACCAGCTTTTTTTTTTTTACTTGATTATGTTTAAACAAAAATAATTTTGAAATTTTTTACAAAAATGTTTTAAAAGCTTGAAATATTTTTGATTGAAAATTATTCTAAAAATAAACTAATGGAAAAACCGAATAAAAACACTTATGAAAAGATTATTAAATTAAACAAGAATAAAAAAATGAAACAAGTCAAAACAAAAAGAAAGATCAAAAAGATGAAACAATAATAAAAGTATCAAATGATAAAGTTGAATCGACAAAAATTGAAAAAAGAAATCTGAGCAAAAAGTATAAAACGAATATAAGAAGAAAGTTCTAATAAGTTATAATAAGTGATTCGATCCAATCAATTGTTTTCATGTTCATTATCTTTCATTTATAGAGATATTTTTATTATCTTTTTCGGAAATGTTGATCTGATGAAAATGACGATTTATGAAATTTCAAATTTCTTTTTATTACTAATTTATTAGTAAAGTGAAATTATTAATAAGTTTACATAAGATATTACTAATTGGTTACATTGATCATTGGTTTTATAACTTGACCATTGAACTAAAAAAATTCAATAAAGCCATAAAAATAAATGATACAGTACACATCTTTTTTAGGCCTAGCACTTATTTAATCCATATTTTTAAACTTATGTTTGTGTTCACTAAATCATTTAAATAAGAGTTTTATAAACTTATTATTATTTTACTGTAAAGAATATACGTACGAAGCTTACTACGTATAGTGGATTTAATATCCGTTATTCGTATGTTGTTTATTTAAATAAAAAATATCTAGGAAAATGGATATTGAATTTCAAAATATTATAAATTAATTTAGTCTATTAAATACTCTATAGATTTTTGTTTAGTCAATAAATTAAATAATAAAATCAAATAATAAAGTTTGTCACACGAACACACGATAATCATTATTCATAATAATCTCAAATAGAAAAGGATCATAGAAGTAGTAATCTAAGTTGTTTCAGAAAGACTATCAACTAATTTTATGATGCTCAGTTGCAATACAATTTATGAGAAATAATAATTAAACTGAAAGCAATAATACTATTTGGATATTAAACTTAAATTTTCTAAACAAATTGCAAATGAAAATAAAAATAAATAAACATTGTTTCAATAATTTCATACTTATATTTAATAGTGTGTTTAATTCTTTTTACTTTATTTATATAAAAATTGTAATAAAAGTATATAATAAAAATGTTTCCTATACAATAACTGATAAATAAACCATCAATGATGAGGAATGGATAATATAATTATTAATTTTTAATTATACATTCTAAACATTCAGAATCTTCTTGAACTAAAATTTCAGTAAGCCTGCGACTTGTATAATATGCTTGTGAATGATGTTGTGTAATAGAAGTACATTCTTGTCCTTGTACTAAAGCTTTGTTTGCTTCTACAAATTCCAACATGTCATTTCTTAATTGTTTATCAATATTAGATACTCTAAATTCATAATTTTCATCCCTGTTTACCTCATAAAATTTATTAATACTTCTAATCCATTTAGATATAATATGTTCAAGCATTATTGTGGTTGGTCTTTTGAAAGGATCTGAATTCCAACATTTTTTCATTAAATTAATATAGCATCTTGGAGTATTTTTTATAATTTCAGGACGTTCTCCTTCACAAATACTCAAGGTAAGGTGATGATCATGTGCTTTACGATAAAATGGAGGAATACCTGATGTAAATTCCCACATTATCATTGAAAAGCTATAAATATCACTTGCTGAAGTATAGGGTTTTTTTCTTAATATTTCAGGCGCCATATAAGGCAAAACTCCATAGACTTCATTAAATTTATTGTCAGAATCTTGTAAATCACTTATAGGTTTACATAATCCTAAATCAATAATAAATAATTCATAGTCATCCGACATTAAAATATTACCATCATGAAAATCACCATGAATTAAATTTGATTCATGGATTACTTTTAGTCCTAATACAATTTTTTCCAATAATTGTAACTTTTCTTGCCACCTAAATTTAATTATATCAGATAAACATTTTCTCAAATTTCCTTTTTTTGCATAACTCATTATTATTATATAATTCAAATTTTTTGGATCTTGGGTAATTCCAAAGAATTGAATAAATTTTGAAAATGATTTTTTCTGGCAATTATAATGATATTTCCACTATATAGATGATAAAAATAATTAAATTTTTACAAAAGAAAATAAAATATACTATTAAATATAAGTAATTTACATACCTCATCCAGAAATTTGCTATTTAAACTTGATGAATTATTAAGTGTTTTAAGAATGACTTCATAATCTGTTTGTCTATTCCATTGTTCTTTATCAAAATTCCAACCATAAATAGGTCCATCTGACCAGATAGCTTTATGAATATCACTGAATCCTCCTTTATCATAATAATTAATATTTGTCAATTTATTATAAGGTATCCATTCTAAAATTTCATAACTATTTTTAGCATTTAGTTGTGCTCTTTGAATAAATTTATCAATAAATTCATTTTTACTAGTCCAATTTGAAAAATCTTGTTGAAATCGTTTAGAATTACATTTTTGACACCACCAGTAAACAGTATATGGCTGTTTGCATTCATTACATAATTCAGATTCATTTTTAGGATTCACTTTGTTACTTTCTGACACTTTTTGATGACAATAAAATACTTTTTCCAAATTGCTTTCTGTTCCTTTTTCTTTTTCATAACATATGGCTAAATTAGTCATTGCTTTAATATGACCATTTTCTGCTGCTTTATGGTACCAATGGAAGGCTTTTTCTAAATTTTTTTCTGTTCCTTCCCCATTTTCATAACATTCGGCTAAACTGAACATTGCTTCTTTAACCCCATTTTCTGCTGATTTTTGGCACCAATGAAAAGCTTTTTCTAAATTCTTTTCTGTTCCTTCTCCATTTTCATAAATTATGGCTAAATTAAACATTGCTTCTTTAACATCATTTTCTGCTGCTTTTTGGTACCAATGAATGGCTTTTTCTAAATTTTTTTCTGTTCCTTCTCCATTTTCATAAAATGTGGCTAAATTAAACATTGCTTCTTTAATACCATTTTCTGCTGCTTTTTGACACCAATAAAAGGCTTTTTCTAAATTCTTTTCTGTTCCTTCTCCATTTTCATAATATATGACCAAATTATACATAGCTTTAATATGACCATTTTCTGCTGCTTTTTGACACCAATAAAAGGCTTTTTCTAAATTCATTTCTGTTCCTTCTTCATCTTTATAACATGTGATTAAACTGAACATTGCTTCTTTAACACCATTTTCTGCTGCTTTTTGATACCAATAAAATGCTTTTTCTAAATTACTCTCTATTCCTTTTTCTTTTTCATAATGTATGGCTAAATTAAACATTGCTTCTTTAATACCATTTTCTGCTGCTTTTTGGTACCAATGAATAGCTTTTTCTAAATTTTTTTCTGTTCCTTCTCCATTTTCATAAAATGTGGCTAAACCAAACATTGCTTTAATATGACCATTTTCTGCTGCTTTTTGACACCAATAAAAGGCTTTTTCTAAATTCATTTCNTTTTTTCTATTTTGTAGGTTTTGACTTTTGGTTGGGCTTTGGATATATGGGTAAATTTCAAAGTTAAAACTTTGAAACTATTTAAAAGTAATATTTTTTTAATTTTTCTTTTTTCTATTTTATAGATTTCAATTTATGGATTTTGGATATATGGGTAAGTTTTGAAATAAAAACTTTGAAGCTTTTTTTTTTAAAAAAAATATTTTTTTTTTTAATTTATTTTAATTTTATTTTTCTATTTTGTAAGTTTGACTTTCAGTTCATAGGCTTTGGATATATGGGTAAGTTTTGAAGTAAACTTTGAAACTTTAAAAAAAACATTTTTTTAATTGTTTTTTTTTTCTATTTTGTAGATTTCAGCTTTCGGTTATTGGGCTTTAAATATATGGGTGAGTTTCAGAGTGATAACTTTGAAACTTTTTTTTAAAAAAATTACTTTTTTAATCTGTTTTTAAATTTTTTTTTCTTCTATTTTGTAGGTTTCGACTTTCAGTTCTTGAGTTTTGGATAGGTGAGTTTCAAAGCTTTGTTTCTCGAAATTATTTTTTTTCAAAGAAACTTCAACTAATCGTTTCTTCTTTTTTTTGTAGGTTTCCACTTTGAATTTTTGGTTAGGTAAGTTTTGAAATATTTTGAAACTAAAATTTTTTTTATTAAAGAATCGGTTTACTAACCGTTTCTTTATTTTTTTTGTAGGTTTTTCTTTTAGACTTCTATTGAATGGGTAGGTTTTGAATCTTTAAAACTTTGACCTTTTTTTATTGAAATAATAACGATTTACTAACTATTTCTTTATTTTTTTTTGTAGATTTCTCTTTCAGACTTTTGTCAGATAGAGTAAGTTGTATATAATTTTGGATGAGTGAATAATAGTGAACGATGGTGGATAATAGATGGTGGATGATGGGTAGTAGATGATGGATGTGAATGATAGTTGACAATGGTTGACAATAGATAATGAATGGTAAATGGTAAATGATAAATGGTGGATGGTGGATGGTGAATGGTAAATAGTAGGTGTAGTTAGACAGATACCTGTCTCTTATACACATCTAGATGTGTATAAGAGACAGCATTATAATAACATATAGCTAAATTATTCATTGCTTCTTCATTACCATTTTCTGCTGCTTTTTGAAACCAATAAAAGGCTTTTCCTAAATTCTTTTCTGTTCCTTCTCCATTTTTATAACATAAAGCTAGATTATTTATTGCATTGGAATAGCCATTTTCTGCTGCATTTTGATACCAATGGAAGGCTTTTTCTAAATTCTTTTCTGTTCCTTCTCCATTATAATATCTAATAGCTAAATTATACATTGCTATAATATGACCATTTTCTGCTGCTTTTTGATACCAATGAAAGGCTTTTTCTAAATTCTTTTCTGTTCCTTCTCCATAACAATATCCAGTAGCTAAATTATTCATTGCTTCTTTATCACCATTTTCTGCTGCTTTTTGATACCAATGGAAAGCTTTTTCTAAATTCTTTTCTGTTCCTTCTCCATTATAATATCTAATAGCTAAATTAAACATTGCATTAGAATGGCCATTTTCTGCTAATTTTTCTAAAGAATTAGTATATTCTTTACAACATAATTTTTCAGTAAAAAATTTATTGCAATGTGAACAATTTTTGGTATTTATATTATCAGTATTTTTATTTGAGATATTTGTTTTACCAAATTTGGTTTCCATTTTACTGAAAAAAAAAATTTTTTTAAATAAATTTTTTTTAAGACCATTTATTTTTTATATCATGCACTAAAAAGAAATAATTTAACCAAAAGTAGAAATCATATTGTTTCAGGTTTGTATTACTATTCTTTGATGTAAATCATTTTGATTGGCAGTCTGAAACTCCGAAACTCTGAATTTCTTTGGTACCATATTTTCTGAACACTATTTTTCAGATTCTGAGGATTTACTTAAGTTGATTAATAAAAATTTTGCATTAAACACAAAATGATCAGCAATTGTAATACCAATCAAAATACGTAATTTTATATATATATAGAATCAAATATTATTAAGAGATAATGAGTAATTTATAAAAAAAAATAATTAAATAAATAAAGTAAAAAAGAATTTTTAAATATTCCTTTGGTAATAACTAACGATATTACTAGGAAAATGGAAAACGTTCACGTTGCAATAACTTGCAAGTGTTACGTGATCTACAACTCATTTATTTATTTGGCATGTTTCAGGGGTCAAAATAGGTAGAGTTATATAAATCATGATACGATACATATTCAAAAAAAAGGAAATAAAATTGTCAATCATTGTAACAGGGACAAAAACAAGGTTAAACCAAATTTTGCTAGTTCTAGTGTTTCCAAAGTTTAAGTGGCCGAAAAACTGAAGGATCTAAAGAAGAAAAACAAAATTAGTGAAAAAAACAAAAAAAGGTAATGAAAAAAAGAAATAAAAAAAGTTAACCTACTATTGTCTCCGAAGCCAGGTGGTTAAAGAATTGAAGGATCTAACGAAATTAGAAGATAATCCGTTAGTGATACAGATAATCTGGATGATCTGTACAGATATCCTCCAATCCTCTCATCCGTATCCATTTATCATCCGTATCCATTTAAAAAATCCTACCTGGATAACCGTAAATGGTGGATATCCGTCCGTAGATACGAATTGTGGGTAAACGGGTTGAAACACTAGCTAGTTCAGTATGGTAATAGTCTTTCGCTAATGCTTTGGATATTTTGATTTATTTTGAATTATTTAAACCCTAAGACTAGAGTAGTAAAAATATGCTTTACAAGTTTCTTAATAGTTTGTAATTTAAATAATTATATAATAAAATTATTTATCAAAAAAAAATTATAATAACCATTACGATAATAATTCAATTATAAATTTTATGGCAATCACAAATAAATCGGTACATTATTGAATAATATTATAATCTTTTGCCTTAATTTATATTTAAGAGGAAAATAAATTTTTTATTAAATTATCTGGATGAAACTTTTTTTTTTTGGGCAAACAAAATACACATCTGATTAAAATAATATAAAATTCTGATGGACCGCAGCTTTATTATGTATAGGTATACAGGCAAATAAATATCTTTATTATGTAAATCTGCTATCTAATATAAATATTTTCCATTAATAATTAATCTATTCTTTTAACAAATCGAAAAATTCAATTTTCAAATCATTATAATTTTGGACTACTATATTATTTAACTTAAATTCCTCTACTTTATCAATCATATAAAACAATTCTTCTTTTTCTTCTTCATCAGTGAATTGATTTAGAAAAGCAAAGTATTTAACTCTTTTCATATCCATGATATAATCTTCTATATTATATAAGATATTGTCTTGTCCAACTTTTTTTCTTGTTCCATTTGTTATATTAAAAAATAATAATTTCTTGATAAAAGTATTTTGAGAATTTATCAAAAATATTTCAAGATCATTTGTATTCATAGTAAGAATCAAATCTAAATATTCTAATTTAAAAGGAAGAATTTGACCTAAATTTTGCAATACAATTGAGCTAAGTTCAGTATATCTATTGTTTAAACCAAACGTATAATCGTAATTTATATCAATAGTAAGATAATTAAGGTTTTGTTTAATGGTTTCAATTAAGTTGAATGTTGAATAAATAATCTGATTATTATCATTAAATCCAGTTAATTCAAGGAATTTAATTTTAGTACAATAATTTGTAATTAATTTAATTAATTCAAGGTGCTGTGAATCTTCACAATATGTAAGTTCAAATGATAAACCAAAATTTTCTAAATAATCTCCAGATTTTTGTAATAACAATTCTATTGACTCAAATATTCTATTTATAAATAAAGATTTTAATTTAAATGGTTTAGTTAAATTAATTATTTGTTGAATAAAATTAGAATCTAAAGAATAACAATTAATAATATGAATAGATTCTAAAACATTTAATTGTTCAAATACTTCATTTAAAATATGTATATTTTTAAAATCAATATTACGAAATATAATTGTGTTTAAAGTGTTTAAACGATTATTAGAATTTAATAATATTGGAGGAAATTCTTGAATAAAGCAAATTTTTTTAAGATTTTGTTGTGATTTAATTAATTGTGATAAATGATATTCAATAGTTGTATTATGTTTAACAAAACTTAAAATGTAAAGTGATGTAATTGATTCACAATTAGAACTTAAAAATTTTAATAAAGGAATATTAATTTTAAGATAAAGAATTTTGATATTATAAATGAAATGTGAACTTTGTAAAATTGATTCATCAAAATATTTATTATGATATATACCATTAAAAATATATAATTTTGCTTTATTTTCAATAAATATTTTAATTAATGATTTATGAATGAATTTTACGAAATCTGAATTATGTGTATTAACAGCAGCTGCAACCCATTTTTCAATACAATCACTAATTATAAGTGTATCTAAATGTAGGATAATTAAATAATGTATTTGAAGGAATTAAACGATTTATACAAAATTCATTTAATTTTATTTTATCATTATCATTTAAATTAATCAAATAAGTTTCAATAAAACGAATTTTATGATATTTAATGTTATTATAATTTGTACGTGATACAATTGAAAATGGATTTTCCCATAATAATGGAATTGCTAAATGACACCATAATCTATTGACTAAGATACAAGAGTGTAATGTTGAAAAATCATTCCGAAAATATTGCATAATATCGCTCAATAATTCGGATAATCCTCCTTCTGAAAATATTTTTGAACATGCCATATTTTTAAGTGAAAAGAGAGAGAAAGAGAAGGTGAGGTTTTTATTTAAAGTTTGATTTGTGGTAAATTTAAATTCTTTTTCGGAGTTAGGACTCCGATATTGCTGCATCATTAATTTGTCAATCACTTCGTTCATTTGAGATCACCAAATCAATCGAAGAAGAAATTAAATTAGGTTTATCACATGATATTATAAGATAATTTTTTATTGGTCAATTATATAAATATATAAGAAAAAAATTTCCGGTCGGATATGTATTACTTTGCGTCACCCTGGTATAAAAACTTTTACTCTGAAGTCTGAACAGCAATCATTTACATTAAAGTAAATAAAATTTATGTGTTGTTGGACGTTTACGATTTCATGTTGCCATGCCGATGTAATAATTTCGTTGAAATAATCAATTATATCACGTGGACAACTTACAAAGTCTAGTATTTCTCGTTTTAAATTAAAAATTTCTGAAGACTAAGCTCGTTAGCGGCAATCAAGACTTTAATAATATCTGAAGTTTCATATTCTTTTAAGGAAAGTACAGATTTTCTGAAAAATTTCAGGTAAAATATTTGGTAATTTAATATATATCGAAGTTCTATTGCTTTTCTTTTTTATTGGTTGACAGAATTCTTTGTAAATAAAGAGAACGATAATACAAAATGACCTTTAGTACGAAATATTTTTACATAAGAAATTTCAATAATAATATCGTAATATTCGTCGTCATCCAAAATTTCAAGATAAATTTTGCAATAGTTTATTATCAATCATTATAATTTTGAAAGAATAAAATAAAAAAAAATGCAATATGTTTCACAATATATATGATTATGATTAATAATATGTGTTTTATGTAAATGATTTGTCACGATCATTATTAAGGTTTTTAAAAACAACAAATTATTCGTGTACCGAATTGATCATAATTAAAAAATTGGGCGCATTTTTAGTATTTATATAGAATAGTTTATGCAATTGATCTAACCATAATTACCAATTTGGACGGATATAGTTTAGTATGAGACTATGAGTGAAGCTAACGTTTTTTAAAATTTTTTTTTTTCATTAGTAATGGAAATTACTTTCCAATTTTGATCTAAATATTTTTTTTTTTTCTCTTCGCAAGAATGAAGTTTTCTTGAAAAAATTCACAAAATGAAAATGGAAATCACTTTCCATTTTTGACCTAATTTTTTTTTCTTTTTCGTAAAAATGAAACTGTCTTGAAAATTCAAAAAAAAAAAATTTCCAAAATGAAATTTGGAAATCACTTTCATTTTTGATCTACAGTATTTTTTTTTTTTTTTTGTGAAAATGAAATTGTCTTAAAAAAAATCACATAATAAAAAAATTCTCTCTTTACGTAAAATCAAAGTCGTTGATTATCATCAAAAAATTTATTTTTTTTTTATTTAATTATAGTTACTAATAAATATAATAAATACAATTATGATAGATAATTCTCATTTTGAAAAAAAAAAAACTTACAACGTAAATTTTTTTCGTCGATCAAAATAATTAGAGATTATCCACCCGATCAAATAAATAATATAATTATAATATTTATTATTTATTAACAGAAATCAAAGAAATATTTATCCTAGTTATAAAATTATATATTTAAATCCAGGTCTCCACTCATATTCTCATAAAATTCACAAAGCTAATTTCATCCATCAAAAAACGATAAAATAGTACAATCAAATGTATATCAAATTTATAATCAATCACTTACAAAATCCACGTAATCATTTGATTGTTAGAAAAGATTCTTTTTTAAAAAGTAAACTAAAATAATTTTTATAACAATATAGTTGGCGGTATATATTTTTTTTATCTTTTTTTTTTTTGAACAAATTAATACTAAATTTTATTAGTAATACCCAGTCATCACTAAGCTAGAGGAAAAAAGATTATTAACCTATTTAAGTTAATCAGCTATTGCTTATTAGTATCAAATCAAATTGTTTAACTAGGCGCAGACGTTCATACGTTACACAATTAAAAATTATTTATACAGAGCGTAATCTAAACATGTTACGACTTACGAATTTTTTTAGTTACAGTATATAAATTTATATATTAAAATATTATTATATTATAAAAAATAAAAAAACATATTTTATTAACAAAAGTGTATAAAAAGATTGATATTTTATTAAATAATAAAAAAAGTATGATCTGGATGACGGTTTGCCTGAACTAGCCAAAAATAGATCTACGAGCATCAATCTCTTATAATTTCAAATACTTCATACTCTTCTACTAAAAAATCATCAGTAATTTCTCTAATCGGTCTTTCATAAGTAATTTTAATACTCCTACCCACGTTATTACTTAAAGTAAGATCACTACCACTGAATGATGGACCCATATCAATACCATTATATGTAGCTAACTGATCGATTTTTATACGACTTAAAATATGATTTTCAATATCTAAATTATTCTTAAAAGAGAATATAAAACTATCTTTAGTATCATCATACATATCATTAGATTTCCATGTGTTAGGATTATATCCTCCAAGAATTTCATTGCTACCTTTCACTTTAATAATCGTTACAGTATGAGACTTGTTATTACAGATTTTATGGAATTTTTCAGGTGTAAATCCATCCCGAGTTCCACGAAGTAATAATTTGAACATATTAGTATTAGTAGATGCATTAATATTGGTGTTCATATCTGTATTAATATTCATAGTTGTATTAGTATCCTCAGTATTATAAATCCATTTTGAAAATATTGAAGTAAACATACTTGAGTTGTTCGTATTAATCCATTTTAATATTAATTCGGCGTGTTGAAATGTAATAATTTTCGAATCAATATTTTTTAAACAATCTTCTTTAACATCTTTAATTACATAAGGTTCCGGTTCTTTAATTGATTTCTTATCAAGATTCGAAAAATATTTTGATAAATCTTCATATAATTCTTTTGGAAAGATCTTTTTATAAGGTAATATTTTATCTGAAAATTCTTCTAAAGTTAAATTATAAAATTTGATAAGTTGAATACATCGTTGTAAACTATTCTTTAAAGTTTTAAAATCTTTCTTTGAAAAATTTTTAAGATCTGAAGGAAGTTCTGGATTTTGAGCATGTCCCCATTTAAGCGCATATTCCCAGACTTGTATTTTACTCATTTGAAGTTTATCGTTTTGAATAAGTTTGACCAAAAGTTTTTCTGGAGTCGAAGAGAGATCTAATGATTTGAATATTTTATCTGGATCCTTAGATATTAAATAATCACAATATTTTTGAAGTTCTGTAAAAGAATTATTTTCAAAACTTAATCTATATATATAACTAGGATTTAATTCCATCCAATCTGATCTTTTTTCAATCAAAAAGCATTGTAGAAAAATTATTAATTCTTTCAGGCAAAGTTTATTAGCAGCGATTAAAATTTTAATGATAACTGAGGGTTCATATTCATCCAATGAAATTATTCCACTATAGATATATCTAAAAATATAAAACAAAAAAACAATTATTACACGATTTAAACAAAATGACTAATATTCAATTGTATACTTACTTTAAAATTATTTGAAAAATTTCAGGTAAAATATCTGGTAATTTAATACTATGTGACAAAGTTTCATCATCATTTTTCTTTTTATTAGTTAACAGGATTTTTTGCAAATAAGAAGAACGATAACATAATATGATCATATGAGCTCGAAATATTTTTACATAAGGGTTATTACCAACTTCAATAGTAACATCACAATATTTTTCATCTTTCAACATCTCAAGTAAAATATGAGATAAATTTTGTAACAGTTTATCATAAATCATCAGGTATATGTATATAGTAAGTTATTTATTTAATTCTATTATTACTTATTTATTTATACGATATATATATTTAGTTTTTTCTTTATTGAATAAAAAAAAAAAAAATGGAAACAAAAAAAAATGCAATTCGAGCATTCTATTTATACATGTTTTTATCAATCACATTTTTATAGTAATGGAAAAATCATAGAAATACGTAATTTAGAGAATGTTGAAAGTGACGCATACGTATCCGTTAAATAGAAGAAAAAGAACAATGATTTTGCCGATCACATTAAAAAAAATGGCATTATAACAAAAACTAGCTAAAATGACAAAATATAGAAATACGTAATTTAAGTGAAATAGGAAATTTTTGAAAGGGACAGCATACTATTTGTTTGTTTTTGTTTGTTAAAATAGAAAGAAAGAAAAGAAAGAAAAGAAAAAATAAATCGAAAAAACGTTTTCTATTTATAATGCTTTTAATTTTTTTTTTTCTGGGTAAATGGGTAAATTTATAACGCTTTTGTCAATCACAAAAAAAAAATGTTATTGTTATTTATTATTGTTATTAGGATTTCTAAAATGGGAATGGGTTAATTGCCGATCACATTAAAAAATGGTAACTAACTGTAATTGGACAATAGAAATAGGAAATTTTTGAAAGTGATGCATTTTAATACACCCGAGAAATAACCTATTCGGATTAGGTTGAAACTTAGAAACGATCCTATAGAATTCTATTTCTTTCCATTAAGAAGGTCTGAAAATTCGGTTGGAATGTTACACACCTATGTCGGTAAATTAGGATTTTTTCTATATGGAAAATTCTTGGAAAAAGTCTGAAACTAAGGATTAAGGATATATCTCATTATATCATTTCCGTCCATTGTTAAACCACTACAATTTGTTAAATTTTTGAAATTTCTCATCATTTGTCTACAAAAAATTTGCCATTATGTACATATTTTTCTAAACAAAAAAATTTTGTGGCGTAGCGATATATACGTTATTATACGCATTACGGCATTACCCGTAATGTCGTAATGCTGATATGTTATTGTGATCGACATCAATTACAAAGAAACAAAAGAAACAAAGAAAATAAAATAAAATTAAGAAAACAAAATAAACAAAAGAAAATAAAATAAACAAAAGAAAGCAAAATAATCAAAAGAAATCAAAATTAAAACCGTTTATAACAGAAAATTA